ATTTAGCAACTAAAATAATATAATAAATTAAAAAATGATAGCATTAAGAAGTAGCGTTAATGAAACTAATATCTTGTATTCTTTCCTTATCGATACTCTGTATTTGGTCTATATTAAAACAAAAAGCCTACCAAACCACAATCAAAAACAAAGACCGCGACCTTACCCTAAGTTTTACTCTTGCTAGAAGTAAGCAAATAAATGTTAGAATTACAGAGAAGTAGGCAAGAAAAGGACAGAAGTCCAAATTTCTGAACAAGAATAGCGGTCGAGTTTAATTGTTCTTTCCTAAACTTTTTTACTAAATCATTCCATTATTAAAGAAGTATCGATGTTTTTGTTTAGTTCCTCGGACGAAGGATAACGGAGATAAGTAATAGTTAATTTTTCTTTGTCAAAACTGAGAAAGGAGGGCATTGGATTATTTTGTTCCAAACTACTTTTAATGATTTGATTCTCTTTCATGATTGGTTTTTTGAGACTAATAACATTTCCAGGTCTAACTTCATAACTAGGGATAGTGACTTTTTTTCCATTAAGGAGAAAATGACCATGATTAACTAGTTGCCGAGCCATACGACGAGTTTTAACTAAGTGGGAGCGAAAAACTAAATTATCTAACCGCGATTCTGAAACTACTAACAAGTTATTACCAACGTTGCCCCCTTTGGCTTTTAACTTGGAAAATAAATTGTATAATTGCCGGTTCCGCCAAGCATAAAGAAGTTGAAGTTTTTTTTGTTCGCGATTTTGGAGAGCATGAACTGAAAATCTTTTTCTCTTGGCTCCATGCTGACCTGGCGGAGTGGTTCTCTTGCGAAACTCTTTTCTATTTTCTAGTAAAGAAAAATTCAAAGCTCGAGATTTCTTTCATAAAGGACCGGTATATCTTGACATATTACTATATAAGAATTATTATTTTTTTACAGGTTGTCAAATTATTAACGATTTCTGGTAAACTTTTTCAGTCTGTATCAGGGAGAATTAGGAAAAGATTTCATCTAATTATTCTTGGGTGCTTGGCATGGCGATTTACATTTTTTTATCTATTTTTTTGCATGTGCTACTAATATAATATAATATGTCTCGGCTAGCAAAACGAGTTATTACTATACCTCCGACGGTGGAAATTTCTCTTTCCTCCCAAAAAATTCTGGTTCAGGGCCCAGCGGGGAAAAATGAACTGCTTCTTCATCCCGAGATTGAAGTCATTAGAGAAGCCGAAAAAATTTGGGTTAAATCCCCTAATCTTGCTCTAACCGGAACCTTTAATTCCTTAATTTATAATCTAATTTGGGGAGCGGATAAAGGTTATCGAGTGGTCTTAGAAGTTAAAGGAGTAGGTTATAAGGTTGGTCTTCGCAATGGCGAATTAGGATTATCCGTAGGAAAGTCTCATCTTGATTACGTCTCTATCCCACGCGAACTACAAGTTGAATTAAAAAGTAATCAAATAAATATTACTGGTTCTGATAAACAAAGAGTTTTCGAATTTGCTAATCACATTAGGGTTCTACGACCACCTAGTATCTATAAAAAAAACAAAGGAATTTACTTTCTCGGAGAAGAAAAAAACCTTAAATTACGCTCAGGTAAAACACTACGAAAATAAATTTGCTTGGCTAATAATAATGAAAAACTAACTCTTTTTCGTTCCGTAAAGAGAACGACCTTGCTTTCGGTTCTTTACTCCTTCGCAATCACTATAACCCCGGATAACATGATATTTTACCCCTACTAAATCTTTGGGTCCGCCCCCGCAAAACAAAACTCTCGAATATTCTTGCAAATTATGACCTTCACCGGGAATATAGACCGTAACTTCTTTTCTCTTTTTTTTTAAGTATGTTATTACTCGGGCATAACTTCGTAATGCCGAATTCGGTTTTTTGGGCTTCATTTTCCCAACTTTCTTACAAATTCCCGATTTTTGGGGAAAAGACCAGTGTGATTTTTTATGCTTTTTGGGAATCCGTGGATTATTAATTAATTGATTGGTAGTAGGCATTATTTAACTTATTATTGTTAATTACTTGAATTATTCGTCATTTCTTTCCCTCGCTCTTATTTTGTAACGGTCAGCCAGTGTCGAAGGATATCTAACCATTCTTCAAACGTAGATTACAAGAAAGCCAAAAAGCAAAGTAAGGCCGGACGTGATACCAAACATTCCAAAATCAAAAGAACTATTTCTTCTCTCATTACTTTTTGTCAAAAATCCCGCAGCAATCCCTAAAACTAATGATAAAAATCCATTAATTATTACCCCTCATTTTCAAAATCCACCTACATTTCTATTATATTCTAGCAACTCGACTTGCCATTGGTCGTAACATCAGGCGCACTGAACTCAATAGGCTAAATTTTCTCAACTTTCCTGGACACCAAATGGCATCTTTTTCCCCCTTCTTGTTTCAGTGCTATAACTAACTCCCCCTTCACAAATTGACGCACGACACGTGCTACATACTTCGTTTTTTTTTGCATTATCCACAATATTTTTTTACTTTTGTAACGTGATTTTAATTTTAACTAAAAGATTTTTTTTAATTTTTAGTCTTAAACATTTTTATTTTTCACAAGTATAAACCAGAAGGCGGAGCAAGATTTTTATATTTACCCTCGTTAGTTAATCTTTTTTTTAAATCAAAAATGGTTTGCTTTCCTTCGTAGCAATTAACTACCTCCCCAATTATAGCCCGAATTTGATAACGAAGAAAGCGGGGGGCAACAACACTAATTATTACCCAATTATTTCTTCTTCAACTCCTTATTGAATCAATTTGCCGCACCGTGTTAGTTTTTTCTCGGTCTTGATAACGGCAATAACAATAATTAAAAAAATCATGCTGTCCACGAAATAATTGAAGAATTTTGTCTAATTTAGTCGTTTCTAACGGTAAATTGTATTCTCAACAGTATTTTTTTTGTCAAATATTCGGTTTCCCCACATTGATAAAGTAACGATATTCTTTACCAACTACATTATAGGGAGGATGAAAATTGACGCCTACTTTTTCGACTTTTTTCACTAAAACATATTCTTCTAACCTCTTTTTTAAAATACCAAATAATTTCTTATTCGTTAGGAAAAAAGGCAAATGAAAAGTAAATTTTTGTTCCCGAGCATGAACTCCTTTATCGGTCCGGCTACTGGCAAAAACACTAATCGGAAACGAAAAAGTTTTTTGAAGAATACTTTCAATATAGCCTTGTCCAGTAAATTGGTCAGGCTGTTTGGCTCAACCCCAGAAATTACTACCGTCATAAGCCACAGTTACCAAATAAAGATATGTATTTTTCATTATAAAAATTTGTTTTGGATCATTCGAAGAACAACTTAAAAACAAAAATTTTTCTCACTTTACCCTCTAACTTCGCGTCTTAAAAAAAAATTTTTTAATAAACAACTAATTTTATTTTTCTCTACTCAGGAATGTTTCACTAACTTTTTTTTTGGTTGTTGGGAAAAATTGCCTAATTTATAAACTATCATCAGGTTTGAATAAAACTTTGCTTAAAAAATACTCAATTGCCTACATAAATGCTGAATTTTACTATTCGTCAAGAGGAAAGCGACCAAACTCTTATTAGTTTTCTGAAAAGAAGATTTAAGACTACTCCGTTAAGCCTAATTTATAAACTTTTTAGCACCAAAAAAATAAAAGTTAATGGCGAAAATATTCGCTATTATCATCATCGCTTAAAAGCCGGAGAACAAATTGTCATTCACGATAATTATCTAAAAACTGCGGTTGCGAAAACCACTATTTTCCCGCTTTCTCAGTCCAAGGTATATTTCGAAATTACTTACGAGGACCCAAACATTTTAATTGTTGTCAAAGAGCACGGGATAACCATGCTGAATTTAGATAATGATGTCCGACATTATTTAGCCGAAAAGGACCCGACCGAGTATCGCCGGCAGATAGAAAATTTTTTTGTCTTGACGGCAGTGCACCGCCTCGATAAATTGACCCAAGGACTAGTTATTTATCCCAAAAATCCCATGGTGAAGAAAATACTTTATAAGGCTATTAGTGATAAAAATAAAATAACCAAAAAATATCTAGCCTTTTGCGAAAAATTATCCCGCTCCGACTTGCCTAATTACATTAGTGGCTATTTAGAAAAAAACGATTCCGAGCACAAAATGCAATTTTCCTTAAATCCCACCACTTCCCAAGTTAAATTTTGTGCGTTGGAAGTAAAAAAACTCGGACTAAAAAAATGATTATCAACAATTAGAAATTACTTTACACACAGGGAGAAAACACCAAATTCGTAGTATTTTATCCTATTTTGGTTATCCGATTGTCGGTGATAAAAAATACGGAAGTTCCGTAGTCATGAATAATAAAATCGGCTTGTTAGCCTATCAGTTAGAATTTCATAATCTCCCCTCACCGTTAGCTTACCTAAATAACCGAATTTTTGCTATTCCCGAAGGAGAAATTGGTTACCAAACAAAAATTTACAAACCATGGGGAATTGAAGAAAAGTCTAAAAAACGAAGTAACTTTTAAGAACCTCAGGAATAACCAAGCGGTTTTCTTTCTCGTTATAATACCTACGATCATTGCGATCAGCTGGTGCTCGGTCCTCATCATCATCCTCCTCCGCCACATGATT